AGTTTTCTTTTTCTTTCTTTCTTGAAAACACAACCGAATGTACTACAATATTCTAAACCATGTCAAAGTCTAAAACCTGTAGCAGGTTGTTGTTGTTGTTTTTTTATTAAAAAAACTCCTTAGACCTCCTTTTTTGTTCTGGAACTTCATCTCCCTGCCCCGCGTAAGCACAGCCACAGCTTTCAAGAAGTATTTGCCCCCAGCCACAGTTGCTTCTAACTTGCCTTTCTTAATTACAAACGAGTGAAATCAGTAGTGCTTCATGCTTTCCAACCTGGCTTCTTAGTAAAAAGTAAAAGTTTAAAGCTGTAGTGCAGCCACAGATGAAGTGCTAGTAAATCAACAGGCTGGCACCAGTATCGTTTGGATCTGCTGTTACAGTTTTAACTGCTGATGTAGCTATGGATTTCCTAGGGAGTCCGCCATAGCTGCAGTACTTTTAACCTGCACTTTTTATTTGAAAGTGTCTTTTGGTAACCATGAAACACTCCTGATCTGTCTTTTTAAAGTAGAAAATAAAATGTAATGTGGCAACAAAGCATGCAGTTGTTGTACAATAATGTTTGTGAGCTTCCTAGGCCCAGTTATATACAGATAACTTTCATTCCTTCCAATCAATCTGCATATAGAAAGGTTTATATTATGTCACTGCAGACCACTGAATTATATCATGAGAAAGCTCTCAGATTGATTTTTGCAGTCATCTGTGCATCAGTCATCATTGAAATCCAAAATTACTTTGAATGATAAATTCTCATTTGAAATAAATCTGTCATTAAATCTAAGGCTAAAACTAGACCAATGGCTTGATTTGGCTTGTAGCGCAACATGCAATAATGCAAAAGACCCAGGTTCAAGAGTGATCTTACACCTCAGGCTGGCAAGGAGGAGGGTTGAGCTAGCGCTGCATCAGCAGGAGCACCTCCAAGCGGTCAAAAGTGTTTTGCCACAGTGAAACTACTGAATACTCAGGGGAAGGGACTTTTCATGGGATAAAAATGGCAGCCCAGAATGAAGGAGCAGGTGAAACTGACCTGTGATCCCGATTCCCTGTATGGGGGTGGTGAGAACCCCCTTGGCTTATGCCTTGGGTCGGGATTTGGTGGGCGAGAGAAAGCCCAGGCTCAGATACATGGGTTACCCTGCTGCAAAAACACAATATATAATAGAAAAATCTAAGCCAAATCATGTTTATATCAATTTATAACAATGAGGAAGATGCACACTTAGATGAAAATAATTAACAAAGAGAACCAGTACTGCTAATTGGCAAAAAACATCTTACTAGGACATGTTTTAACACATCTCCATTTTATTGTCAGGATATTCAGAAAGTCTGTATTACCTTTCTTGGATAATACTCATTGATTTTAACAGAAAACTATTACTTTATCAGACCACTTAAATCAATTCTGTTGTAGAAACTTTGGAAGAACATGCTGGCTCTGTAAGTCAACATTTTCTTTGTATGGAGTGAACCACCTGACTTCATTAAATAAAAACTCCAAGGGTTTTTTTGACTCATCTGGAAGCAATTAAAAACTGACAAAAATATCTTTAAGTAGAGCGATGACATTTATCAGCAGCCTTACATCAACCAAGAAACACTCTGTTAGATTTCAAGGCACACACAAAATAATGCCCGGTACATTTTTCAGGAATTGCATGAGATGCTTGCTATGTGCCTCCCATACTAATACTAATGAGAGTCATATGGCTGAAACCCTACCCAATGCTTCAGAAATTCAGAGGAAACTAACAGTTTAATTGTGGGCTAATTTCCAATCAGTTGCACAACTGTGCACACAAAAGAGTGCACCTAATTAGTGCATGCAATCGCTGCAAATATATGCATAAATCTGGTATGTGTGTATGTAAATGTACATCTGGTAGCTTCCTGTGCAAATACCTGAATTCTGCACACATTCAGAGTATGGCACAAATCAGGCTCATAATGTTTTAACAATTTACAGTGGATCTTGTTTACTTATGGGAGACAATAGTTTGGCACCTTATTATTTTCTTTTCACTGTGTGCACTATTCAGCTCCCAGCTGTCACATAGGAAATATTCCAATCGCTATTCATTGTCTCAGGATATATTTTATTAAGGTTCTTTCACATTTACCTGAGAAGTTAATGAGGTGAATTTGTCTTGAAAATGTTGCATGGACCTTAAGGCACCCTTAAAGCAGCTGGCATCACATTTTTGTTAAAACAAACAACAAATGTTTTGGTCACAGTTAGTAACAGATCATTCCTGGTCAGTTCTTTTCAAAATGTGATTTCATATTTCTAACTATACTCTATGTGTGACTCCCCTACAATTCTCTCCTCTCCTCACTGCAGATGTGTTGCTTGGGAGGATCCAGTTTTGTAGCTCAGGAAACCTGCTCACCTCATGGCTGTTCTTCTTGCAGAGCAGACTCTTGACAACGTGCCTTTGCAATCACCAAGCTCTCTCACCCACCCCCAAAGCAGACACCTTCAGGGGAAAGGGTATTTCCCCAGCCCACCTAGTCTGGCAAGTATATTTCAGGAACACAGATGTTCTGTGCCACCCCCTTATAGGTTGCTTATTCTTCAGCAACAGGTGCTGCCTCTGACTGTTACCATTTCTGCTTACACTATACTCAGCAGCAGGGATGAAATGAGAGAATTAGATATGGCAGAAATTATAGGTCACATTAAAAAGAGAAAATGATACAGACCAAGACAGGTTTTTAAGTAACCGTGACCCTCGCTATTGATTCATTCTCATTTATTTATTTATCCTGAAGTTCTCAGGTATTTTAAATACACAAGCTAAGCATCACAGAACAGGGGAGAAGATGCTTTCTGCTCTTTAACCTTTACTAGCAATACGATTCTCTTCCCAGGTGATGGGTTAATGTTAGAGTAAAAAAGTGTATCTGTTTTCTATAGGCCAAATTCAGCCCTAGTTAAGCAGACACAGTACCATTGACTGAAATGGAGTTGTGCCAGGCCTGAATTTGGTGCTATGATTTTAAGCCTTGTTTTCAGAAATAAAAGTCAGAAAATGAAAGAGAGCACAAAACAAGTTTCTAGAGAAGAACTTGCAATCTCATCTGCACTCTGAGCAGGTTAGTCAACCAAGCTAATTTGCTCTTATCAAATTGTTTCATGCAAAGGAAGAAAACCAAACAATCAACATTTCAATCAGAGTTTATCAGCATTATGGCCATGGGGACAGGAGTGCTGCAGTCACTTGAAAGTTAAACTCCTGCAAGGGATTTAAGAAGAATGTTACTGGTTTTGTATTGCCAGTTTTAACCATGCAATGTGGTAGCTATTACATGTCTCAAACTATTAATGTTTGTAATTTGTAGCAAAGACTCATCTATGTGAACCTCTGAAAACCTATGTATGCAATAACTGTATATTGAGCTTGGAATACTCAAGTTTTGGAACAAACTCAAAATCCTTTAGCTGAAAAAGGCTGGGCCCACAGAAAATCTAGTAGTATCATCAGCAATACCAGGAGGGATGAGATGGAGTGCCGATGAGAAGCGCAGTCAGGAAAGTAACTGAAATACTTTCCTCATGGATTGTATTTTCTATATGGACAACCTACCTAATTCTCAATTACTGAGGGACAATCTCCACTCATTGATATATTTTGCTTTCCACAACCAAATCGCTGTACAACTTTCCATGAGTGATGTACCTGAGTATTCAGATTCTAATATCTAAACTGTATTGTTAAATTTATTCACCTAAATTTGGGTTATTGCTGATTATGTACTCTGTGTATCATGACTTTTAAAAACAAATTTTGCATTTGTGGCTAATCTAAGCAAACTATATCCAGATGTACAGACACTCTTTTCCCAACCTATGTATTATATAATTTTTTTAACATTAGCCTTAATAAAATTTTTAAATCTATTAGCTTCCAGCTGGACCGGTATCAAACCCTTCTGCCAGTGGGGAGATACATTAGTACTGATGACAGGGGGAGAGGGAATAATCATTTCTGTCACTGGCAGAGAATTATAAATTCTAAAGTGGCACAGTAATGACAAAGGAAGCCTAGTGGAAAATGTTTGACAAGCCTAGAGGTTACGGTTCCACCTATTCACCATCCTTTCAGATAAGGGGTCTAACTAAGTAGACATAGATAATATGGAGTATTTCTCACAAGGAGAATAGCAAATATGGGCCTATTCAATAAACAAAACAAAGAAGGCAAGAAAGCAAATCTAATTAATTTTGTAACTGTCTATATGAATCTTAAATTAATGGAGATATCCCATCTCCTAGAGCTGGAAGGGACCTTGAAAGGTCATTGAGTCAAGTCCAGCCCCCTGCCTTCACTAGCAGGACCAAATACTGATTTTGCCCCAGATCCCTAAGTGGCCCCCTCAAGGATTGAACTCATATCCCTGGGTTTTAGCAGGCCAATGCTCAAACCACTGAGCTATCCCTCCCCCAACTATCATATATCTTATACATGTATGACAGTTTTACAAATGGGCTCAATTCCTAATATGTTTACATTAATACATACATGCCCATTTCTTTATTTTTCCCTTACTGGACCAGATCCAAAGCCTATTGAAGTCAATGAAAAGACTCACACTGACCTCAGCGGGCATTGTAACAAAGACTGTGCACAGACAGTCTCCTCATGTTCTGATCCCAGTGGTTTGAGAAGCTATTCTAGGTCAGACTTGATGGCTTAGAGCACTAAACTGTAAATATGTTCTCAAAGCACAGTTAGTTTCTTTTCCTAAAATCTCTGGGTGGGGCGTCAGAGATAGGAATGTCAATGTGTGTCCCCAGGAGAACCTGTGTCCTCTGCAGTGGTTCCATCTGGGGTGAGGGCAAAGGAAGGAAAATAGGTTATATGAAATTCACCATTTGAACAGGACACCCTCAGAAATGGCAGTTTACTGTAGGTAAAAGCCTGTTGTGACCGTGCAGGATGTCACCCGCAGTGGGGTTTGCTATAGGCCTGACTGCAAAGAAGAAAAGCAATAATTAATTGTTTTAGGAAAAAGTAAAAAGATATTAAAAACACATTTGTTAAACCATTTACCAGCCTGTCAGTCAGTACTTTGAGTGGGCCACAGGGAACATCTGTAGTTTCTACTTTAAAATGCTCAATGTAAATGAAAGTAGCATTAGTTTGTAAGCTGTTCTTTTCTGCTTTGCTGTTAAAGGGTCGACTTACTCAGTTGAATTAGACCGTGGCCTATATTTTTTGCCTCTGATTTTCTTTCTGTTTCCTCCTATATTACCTGAAAAAGATCAGAGGATAAAGACAGACCAAATAATATCTTGAAATGTACATGTATAGCATTTTAAAAATGTTTATAATTCATGTTCATTACCTCCCCGCCAAACTAGTGGTATTGACAGTTTCCGCCATTCAAAAATCATGAGTCAGGCATTCCCAAAATATCATGAGCTTTTATTTGCCTTCTGGTTTCTGAGTCTTTAGGGTGCACTTGGGTCACATTTTCAAACTTTTCTCTGCAACCGTGAGAGGTAGAAACTTACATTTTAAAATATAAAAGCTGAAATTCTCACCCAATTAGAACCCGCCAGGGCTGGGGCTCTAAGGTAAACACTAAATATTGTGAAACTCACAATACAGTCATAAGGGTTGGAATCACTGAGCTACTCATGGTTGATTTCTCCACATTTTTCATGTCCTCTCACATTGATGTTAGAACAATGGGTGAAACCAAGGAGATGTAATTTCTACATAATGAAACATCCCACTAACAGCTTTGTGTGCTAGTGATATTTAATATATTTAGAAAAAAATGTCCAATACACTAGTTAAAAGGGACCCTGTCAACTTGAATTTTCTGAAATGGACTCAAAACGATACAGTTTGCTAACAGAACACACATTAGTCATAGCCCCAATTTAAAAAAAATTCCTTTAAGAAAAAATTGTTAGGGGCTTTTCTACTCCTCTGCCCTGTTGGAAGGATCTTTTAAGTGAGCACATGACCCCCTATGTGTTCAAGTCTGCTGCTTCTCCCCACCCCTGCACACACTTGCTTGTGCCTCTTTAGTTTCATTTTCGGCTCTACTGCTGGTAAACACCGACTATTGCAGGGCTTGTAAAAAGGCATGCACCATCAACAACACAGCACAATTGACTATGCACAAAATGCTGTTGAAGCAAATACACTGAAAACAAAATGAGTAAAATGCCCCAGTCTCTTTCAATTGCATTAGTCTTAGTAGATACAGGTAGCAATAACAGGTAAAACATTGTCAGAGAATTGTGCATTTCAAGTTACCAGTGTCCTTTTATTGCCCAACCCTGTGAGTGGCAAATGCAGTGTGCTAGCGTCAGTGGGAGTCGAGGATGCTCTATACCTCACTAGAGGTAGTCAGCTCTGCACAGGATTGGGCCCCTTAAAATTAAAACAGGATCATTGAGAGATGGATTCTCCACCACTCTGCATGAACTCAGCAGGAGTGGAGAGGAGAGGCCACAGGGAAACAGTTCTAGCTCCCTGATACTGCACCAACCACCCAATGAGAAAGCAGCTCTAACTCATGAGGTCTCTCTCTTCTCCACCTTCCCCTTACACTGGGGTAAAGAGGTGGCTGGTAATGGAGCCAGCTCTGTGCCATCAGAGAACCCTCCTGTACTTACTATTTCTGGCCAATCTAATTCCTCTTTGCATCGCTTGACTGGCACATAGAGGACCAGGGAATCTGGCTTGCATGTGCACGCGCACGCAGGTACATAAAAATTGGGCATTCTGAATACGTGAATTGTCAGACTGGACTTCCTCCTAGAAACTATTACGAACGGAAGGCTGCATGGAACTATAAAGATAGTTTCCATATATTTGCAATATGGTCTTGGATTTAACCTATGACCTCAATATCATCAGGCATTAACAACCTTGACCTCCACTGTGAAAAAATATACACATCTAAATGTACCAGTACACATTTTTAGCATAGTTGCTAAAACTGTATTAAATTTACAAAGACAAACAACTGATCCAGTATTGTTGCACTGTAAAACTCCCTGGGAATTTTGCCTGTGGGGCTGCAGAATTAGGCCTTACATTAGTAGAAGTCTTTAAGTTCTAAAATTTAACTGATTTACATTAAACATAGTTGTCCTCAGATGAGTAGCACCATCTGGGCAAGACTGTTATTTTACAGTCTGCCATGCATATGGGGAAGTGTGTACTTGTGCTCTCCCCAAGAGAAGACTAAGAAGTAGACTGGGCCGTTCAGTTTCCTCCTGCTCCAGGAGGTGTATGTGAAGGAAAAAGGCAGCCTGTGCCAGCCCTAAACTTGGTGCAGTCTATGTTCCCAAGCACAGCTGAACTGGCTGGAACGTTTGGCCATGAAACTTCGCCCATATGCAGGGAGCAAAATGTAGCAGTCCAGCAGAGGCTACTCACTGCTCTGTGGTATGGGTAACCAATGCAGGAAAGTAAGAGATGCTTATATCCCGCCTACACCCCTGCAGGAGCAGTTGGGATAGGCCACAATCTGGATTTTAGTAATAATCTAATACAGTAGAACTTGGCCTTGGTGATCAGTGACTGTAATGATCATTTAGCTAAAACACTTAAGGCCAGGTTTTCAAAGGCAGTTAGCACCTAAAGATGCAAATTGGTGTCTAGTAGGATTTTCAAAGCACCTTGTGACGTTATTGACATGAACTGTAATGTATAGATCATTGTTGCACCAGGTCTTCTACAGAGGAGGTCAAGTGGGGCGTCTATGGAAAGGTTGTCGTTTGCTAGCTATGATTATGCTGTCTATATGTGTGTATCATTTTTGTATTTGAAGTTATGAATATTGGCTATGTACTTGTATCTCAATGTGTTTGATTCTAAGTAGCCTCAGTAAAGCATTTGGTCAGCTTCTTGAGAAAGGACTATTCTCAGTAAGTGCCCAATCAAGAAACACTTAACTGACAATGGACTTTGGGAGATGCCAATCTACATCTGAGCTTTCCTGGGAACATTCAAACTAACATGTAAACAATGGCATCCGCCTGCAAAAAGCTGAATCATTCATGGACATGTGACTTGCCCAGCTGGCTACAAACTCCATCTTGCTGCTGTGATTTTGCACAGGAGAACAAAGGGGCTTCTGCCCACAAGAGAGAGAATATAAAAGGCCCTGGAAACCCCTCCATTTTGTCTTCAGCTGGTTCAAGAGATGCCTGAAAGAAACTGGAACAAAGGACAGTAACTACAGGGGTGTGAGTGATTGCTGGACCCAGACTAGGAAGGAGACCAGTCTGTGAAAGAAGCTTATTGGAACATCTCTGGGGGTGAGATTTCATCTGTAATCAGTTTCTTAATGTATTAGGCTTAGACTTGTGTGTTTTATTTGATTTTGCTTGGTAACTTACTTTGTTCTGTCTGTTATTACTTGGAACCACTTAAATCCTACTTTTTATACTTAATAAAATCACTTTTTGCTTATTAATCAACCCAGAGTAAGTAAATAATATCTGGGGAAGCAAACAGCTGTGCATCTCTCTCTATCAGTGTTATAGAGGGCAGACAATTTATGAGTTTACCCTTTATAAGCTTTATACAGAGTAAAACAGATTTATTTGGGGTTTGCATCCCATTGGGAGCTGGGTGTCTGAGTGCTAGAGACAGGAGCACTTGCTAAGCCGTTTTCAGTTAAGTCTGCAGCTTTGGGGAGTGTGGTTCAGACCCTGGGTCTGTGTCGGAACAGACTGGCATGTCTGGCTTGACAAGACATGGTTCTGGAGGCCAAAACTGGCAGAGAAAACAGGCTCAGAGGTAGTCTCAGCACATCAGGTAACAGTCCCAAGGGGGTTTCTATGATCGAACCCATCACACACCTAATCACTGAAGTCAATGGGGGTTAGGTACCTAACCTGCCTAGGCACTTTTGAAAATCCCTTTTGGTGCTAGCCTGCATCTTTAGATGCCTAAATACCTTTAAACATCTGGCCCTCAGAGCCTTATTTCCAAAATTTAGCATTTCCTGTTTTGCTATGTTTGGCCCTGTTGGCAATGATCAGCTGATTTCAAGCAACAGGGATAAACCTCAAAGGAATTTAGTTCCTTGTTAAACTCTTAAATATACATCTCTTAGTTGCTGCCTTTGAAAAACTGCAGTGGGGCCATTCCGATGCTCTTGTGTGCAATTCAATTAGACGGTTCAAATTCTTAATTTTTCATACAAAAAGAAAATTGGGAGACGTTTTACTTCTCTGATATTTATTTTTTTCATCCAATGTATCACCTCCAGGTATTCTCAAAGGTAAACCTTTCCAAGGCAAAGTGGCTATAGCCAATGGAGTGCCAGGCTTCACAACATATCGGGCCACAGAATCTCGCCCATTCTGCTCAAGTGGCACAAAGGAAGCAGAACTATCTGTATCTCCCCAGCGCACTCAGACCCAGTGCATCTGCATGTTAGGCCATCCCCATCCCCAGACTCTGATGGGGGGTGAGTAAAGATGGGTAGGGGAAGTGGTTGAAGCATGTTGTGCTCTGATAATAACTAGCTTGTGGGCAGGTCCTTGGGTATCATTACCAGCTACCAAAGTTTAGAGCATCCATGAGGCTGCTATAAACTCTGGAGGAGCTGTGGCCAGCATCAGGGCCGGTTCCAGGCACCAGCGCAGGAAGCAGGTGCTTGGGGCGGCCAATGGGAAGCGGCGGCACGTCCGGGTCTTTGGCGGCGGGTCCCTCAGTCCCTCTTGCAGCGAAGGACCCACCGCCGAATTGCTGCTGAGGAATGAAGCGGCGCGGTTGAGCCGATTGCGACTTTTTTTTTTCCTTCCCTTCGCCGCTTGGGGCGGCAAAAAAGCCTGAGCTGGCCCTGGCCAGCATAAAACCAGCCAGCGACTCGGAGAACTGTAAATGGCTCACGTGTGGTTCCCCACTGTAGGCACAGCAGAGAATTTGGGCCATTATATCTGTATTGTGGTTCCTCTTAATTGAATATATGCTGCATATATGTTTCAGGTTTGCACTCAAGGCCTGTTTGAAAGTAACAGTTGAATAGTACTGTCTAAAATTGTATTTAAAATTGCAGTTTGGACCATTGCCACAGACCTGGAATAATTCATCTCTTGGAGTTGAAGGGTTCAGAGCTCCTGCTGTTAGTGATACAGCAAAATGTACTAGTGTGTTGTGCTGTTAAATCCAAACTCCCAGGTTAATAACAAAATGTACACAATTTTAGGGAGTCATGTTCCTGTCCAAAAAACAATTAAATTGTCAGCATAGCGGTGGTGACACCCAGGTGGGTTCTTGCTGTAGTCAGCATAAAAGTTCTCCCTTACCTTGCCACGAGTTACTTCTAGGTCTCCCATTTTCACAGATGTCTGAAATATGCTTTGTGTCTGGAATCCTTTCACTCCATGAATGAGATAATCCATTTGACCTGCAATAGGAAGGCTCATCTGTGATTGTTGTTAGGTTACCTTCTAATCATTTATCAGAGGGGTAGCCGTGTTAGTCTGTAAAAAGCAACAAAGAGTCCTGTGGCACCTTATCGACTAACAGATGTATTGGAGCATAAACTTTTGTGGGTGAATACCCACTTCGTCGGATGCATCTGACGAAGTGGGTATTCACCCACAAAAGCTTATGCTCCAATACATCTGTTAGTCGATAAGGTGCCACAGAACTCTTTGTTGCTTCTAATCATTTGGGTCCAAAACAAAGCCCAAAGGTCTGTCTGCACTAGCAGAGTGCACTGTTTTAAGGTCAAGCACTACAGCTAGGTTTGCTAGTACAGGCCATTCCCGCAGTGGTTCAGTGTGTCCACATTCACTAGCCTGGGTTCTATAAACTGGTTCAGGGTGACCACTCATAGCACTTCATCCAACTGTTGCTATCCCTGGGCACTGCAAGCTTCCTAAGGCATCTTTCTAGCTATCTGTTCCTAGCTGTAGCATCCCATGCCCCCACCCAGTCATTGATTCCATCCTGACTGAGGAATGCATGCTAAGTCCTCACACAATTGGAGGGAAACAGAATGATGGAAGGCGGTTGGGAGGATTCCCTGTTACATTTCCTCTCCTACCTCTAGCCCTGGAAGCCCAGGATGATCATGATGAGCACCCACGCAGCTAGGTGCTCTAGGAGATAAAGAGCTCATTCTCAGCTGAATAAACGGATCTGGGTTAGGGCTGTTGATTAATTGCAGTTAACTCAAGCGATTAACTCAAAACAATTAATCACGATTGAAAAATTAAATCGCAGTTTTAATTGCACTGTTAAAACAATAGAATACCAATTGAAATGTATTAAATATTTTGGATGTTTTTTCTACATTTTCAAATATATTGATTTCAATTACAGCACAGAATACAAAGTGTATACTATTTTTGATTACAAATGTTTGCACTGTAAAAATGATAAACAAAAAATAGTATTTTTCAATTCACCTCATACAAGGAGGGATGGGAGGGATAGCTCAGTGGTTTGAGCATGGGTCTGCTAAACCCAGGGTTGTGAGTTCAATCCTTGAGGGGGCCACTTAGGGATCTGGGGCAAAATCAGTACTTGGTCTAGCAAGTGAAGGCAGGGGGCTGGACTTGATGACCTTTCAAGGTCCCTTCCAGTTCTTGGAGATATCCTATAAAAGTACTGTAGTGCAATCTTTGTCCTAAAAGTGCAACCTACAAATGTAGAAATGTTTTGTTACATAACTGCACTCTAAAACAAAACAATGTAAAACTTCAGAGCCTACAAGGCCACTCAGTCCTACTTCTTGTTCAGCCAATCACTCAGACAAACAAGTTTGTTTACATATACAGGAAATAATGCTGCCTGCTTCTTATTTACGTCACCAGAAAGTGAGAACGGGCATTTGCATGGCACTCTTGTAGCAAGGTATTTACGTGCCAGATATGCTAAACATTCGTATGTTCTCAGTTTCAGGTGATACTGTAAACAAGAAGCGGGCAGCATTATCTCTTGCAAATGTAAACAAGTTTGTTTGTCTGAGCGATTGACTGAACAAGAAGTAGGACTGAGTAGACTTGCAGGCACTAAAATTGTACATTGTTTTATTTTTGAATGCAGGGGATTTTTTTTGTACATAAATCTACATTTGCAAGTTCAACTTTCATGATAAAGAGATTGCACTACAGTACTTGTATTAGGTGAATTGAAAAATACTATTTCTTTTATTTTTTAACAGTGCAAATACTTGTAACATAAATAAATATAAAGCAAGCACTGTACACTTTGTATTCTGTGTTGTAAATGAATTCAATATATTTGAAAATGCAGAAAACATCCAAAAATATTTAAATAAATGGTATTCTATTATTATTTAACAGTGTGATTAATCACATGATTAATCGTGATTTTTTTTAATCGCTTGACAGCCCTAATATGGATATTTTATTCTTTTTGTGAGCTGGAGATTGCAGTGTGCACTTACAGGCCAAAGTCATGGCAGAGTGGGGTCTATATACTCAGATCCTATAAGATGAACGAATGTATTTCTTTCTTCTCACGTTTTCCCCTACAATCCAGAGATGTGTTTGCTGAGGGCCAGTATCCACAGGGAGCAGATCCTTGTAGAAGACTCCCTGCAACACAGCTAGTTCTGCTCCCCACCGCCTTTGCCATATGTGGCAGTAGCAACCCAGGACGATTATTAGGTCTACAAGAGGGGATGGAAGTAGACAAGTGGTACCTGGAGACTCATGGTAAGGTAAAACAGAGATTGTTTGTTTATTTACTTGGGAGAAGCTTGGCCTACTGAGTGTATTTGTATATTTTAACTATATATCTGAATATACTAATGTTCTTCCACCTCTTTCTCCTTTGGAGGGCAAGAATCTGATGGAGACTGCTTAGACAGTTCCCATGTCACTCACAGGTCACCCTAAGGTATTTATTTATTTATCACACCAATATTTATTGATTCAAGCATATTTCCAGGGTTAAATATCTTAATACGGATACATTCTTGGATAATTTTTCTCCTACTAGTTTCTTTTACAGGTGCAACGGGTGGCCCCCACTTTTTACTGTGCTTGGTGTTCACTGTTTTATACTGGAGTGTTATTATAAAGTTAGCTGTTAATATTTTAATGTCATGCTGAATTCTCTTCAACTAACCATTCATAGTGTTTTCCAGCATCGATGGGACCAAATGAGTAAAGCCTCGGCTGCTCTTTGGTCTGCCCAGAGATGTGGGTATTTGTGGACAGAGTGCCCTGAAGGCAATTTGCCTGATAGATGGGGATAACATCATGGGGACTGAACTGAAAGGATCAATTAACACTGGGATCGTTTCAATGCCTTGTTTTCTGTCCACATTAGTCCTGCCGTAGTATGAAAGAGGCATTACCCAAACTTGCTCAACAGTGGTGCAACAGTACCTGAACTGGTGCAGTAGCAACATTCAATTTCTCTAGCATAAACAGACTTTAGCATTGTGCAGTAAATAATAAACAAGTGAAAGCAACATGAAAGAAATAGAAGTATGAGGCAAAACAAAGACATATCATGAAGAGAAGAGTTACATAATGTTCATTTTAAAAAGTTAAATAATTTTTTCTTAACTGGAATGCAAACCTGCTCCACTGCCGAATACAAGACCTACGGAAACTTGCTTTCCCAAGATTTGATTAGAACTTAGTCAACTGAGAAATGATTTTGCAGCTGAAGACACTGCATCATTTTAAGATTAACTTTCACTCCCTGGAAGTAAATTATTTATCTCCCCACAAATATAAAAGCTTTAGCCAAAAAGGGGAGTGTGGTTAGTTAATTACATCTCAAGCGCTGTTCCCTTGAAGGATACATTTGCCTTAGTCATAGATTTAAATGGGATACTTTAAAGGAACTGGAATGTGAGGCCTGTATAGTATATACAGTTTCACATACTTGCTATGTTCAGCAACTTTAAATGGGCTAAAAATTGTGTGAATTTTGTCAGTTGCTCAATTATAAATTATCTAAAGGGAGAAGAAATAGGAAGTTTAAAAAAAAATCAGTCCTCCTATGAGGACTGCATTCCTATTACACACAGCTCCTTGTAAATCATTTTGAAGTGCCAGTTAAAAAGGAGTTTCATAATTAAAGTATCTCTGATTGCAAAATGATGGCAGAGCATGGTGAGCTTATCAACGACTAATGTACCATTAACATTTTGCAATGAACTTGTCATTTTAAAATAGTGTTGATGTCTCTTCTAAGCAATAGGAGCCACAACATATTAGCAAACTCTAAATAAATAATGTATCTTTTTGGATTAGTACTTAACAATGGTACAATCTACTGCTCTAAGGGACTACTCAGAATAGTCAGCACAAGGAACAAGTGTTTGCTAGATCAAGTCATAGATTAACACTTGATTGAAAGTTTAGTATATTAGTATAGAAATAACATTTATATAAACTGTGAGTACCACACTCATTTCTGCAAGTCAGCAAGAATAAAAATATTTTTCACTATGTCTAGGTCGACTACAACTAAAAGGAGTTAACAATGACATTTACAAATAAGGATACAAAAATAACATTCATATTAATTAGTTTATTTTTATAACTCTGATTGAAACATGACAGTATCTCTTTTCTTTGATTACCTGAACATGATATAAAATTCACAGGATTTTTTAATTATTGGTTTGTTTTATTTTTGAACCTGCCAAGAATACTATAATCTTCTTGGAAAGCAATTTCCAAGCAGAGAGATGCTGAAAATTAGATTATACAAATCTTGGACAGCAATGTAAATTATACTTATTCTGCTTTGATTTTTAATAATCAACAGTTTGGGGCATTTTATGTAGTGGTAGAAAAAAAATCAGTAATCAAAGAATAAAAGATACCATTTTTAACATTCCACAAAGAAGGAAGAAGGACTCAAACCTGCTGCAAAACAATGAAATGTTCTGACTAATGGAATAATGGGTGATGGAACAGGTAGAAATCTGAAAATGCGACAGAAAGGCAGACCTCTTCTTAGAACTAGATGCAGAATTTGTGCTGACTCCAGGACGCATGTCGCTATAAAAAGAGTCGGCCTCTCCAGGCTTTTTTACATAATCTCCCTGTGGTATTTGTCTAAAGCATAATAAACATTTTAAAGTTAGAAAACAAGACATGTACACACAAATATTAGTTTAGGAGAAAGAGGAAGAGATAACACTCTATAGGAGGAAACTGTAAGAATATTAATAAACACCTCAGACTTGAAAGAGAAGTCCTTCATATTTTTGAGAATTCAGAAATGCAATGTCAGAGGTTTAATTCAGAGAAACCTGCCTTTTAACTGAAAAAAACTGGCTGAGATTTTCAAAAGTGACTAGTTAGTTTTGGATGTCTCAGGTTTTGGATGATCAATTTCAGATATCTTCAAGAGGCCTGGGTATCAGGAAGTGACAAGGACTATGTGACAAAGTACAGGTGCTGCAGCCTGCAAAAGACAGTCCGCAACTGGTCATATGGCTATTCAGGGCAGAGACTAAAAGGAAGTAGAAGGTGGGTCAAAAGGGAGCTAAGGGAAGGGTTGTGTGTTCTCCCTTCCTGGCTGGTTAGCGCAGGGAAAGCTTCTGGGGAATTATTGCTCAGTGTTTTTCAGTTGACTTGTTTTTTGTTTTTGAACCAAATGAATGAACAAACCCCAAAGAAAGAGTCTTAAAATAACTTGGAGCTTTATTTCCATTCCCTAGCTGGTAAAACTGCCCATCAGTCTGCATACCCAGTCTCTGAAAATCTGGCCTCCTTAAGGTGTCTCCAATAAGGACACCCAAAATCACTGTTCAGTTTGAAAATCTTGACCTTTGTCTCAAATGAGATTCACTTTAAAGCCCTCTAGCACTCTAGAAGCATAAATTGCAAAACCAGAATTGTATTTTTTAAAGAAAATTTAGTGCCTGTGACAGGGATTAGGTTGTTTGGTCAGACAGAGAATTAACTATGGCAATTAAGCTTTAGTTGGATTTACTACTGGATTTCCAAGTGCGTTTAAAATGCACTTTTTTCCCCCTCTGAAAGACAGATGCCAAAATGGTGCTGACTTCCTTTAATTTGCACTGACTTCCACTTTGCTAAAGGTACTGGTTTTAAGGATTTCATCATCTACTTGCTTGAATGACAGCTCCTAGTTTCAAGTTATCCTGTGGAGCTGCTGCATCTTTACAGTTCACTGTGTCAGAAGTTTACATATGGGTAATATTGGACTACAGCAACAGAACTTATTTTTTTTTCTGAGCTACTGTGTGCAGGTTGAGATTTTTTTAAGTACAGTGTTACTTGGCTACAGTATAGTCAAGTCACTATCTTGAAATATGCATCTGAGCACCTCATTTAAAATGTAAATAGTTCCAAAAATATTCCCTTTAGCCTTAAATTTTAACTTTTAATTCTTCTTCTCCATTTTGTCAACAATCAGTCTCTGACTAAGCATTACTCATGAGATTGCTTGAAGCAGAAGAGTGACAGGAAAGACAAAGACAAGCTGCTAGCCCAGAAGTATTATAAGGTTTATTATAATCTTTTCACCCTTTTAGATCATGCCTTCTGTTCTGTGTTCCCTCCTTCATTCATCCAAGACTTGTTTCTGTTCTGATTAAACAACCTTTTCAATGTTTGCAATTAGAAGCAAATTATTTGCAAAGAGATTAAAATGTTCCATGTTTCACACCAATTGGCACACCAATTGATCAAAATATATAATTCACATCCCACTCATCCCTTTAGCCATGATTTGAGGGAAAACTTCCAATTTATGAACAACCTTTCCCCACTTTTCCTCTGATAGTGAATTTATAGCCATCGGTTATCACTGTTCTTTGGAGATAATTCTAGCAGGTCAAAAATGTCTCCCTAATTCAAATGGATAACTTGTCTGTTGCTTTAATCATTAGCAGAAGATGCCCAGTTCAACATTGTACTTTCCAAGGTGTTTATTTCCGTTTGTCACCATTAATAAAAATGCTCATTAACCAGAAGGTTGACTCACTTTCACTTCGGTTTTCAGAAATACAGACTGTGAACTCCTACAGAACTTGACTCTCTTAAGATTTTCTTCACTTCTTTCACTTCCAGATTTAAATTTCAAAAGCTCCTCATATGTTTAAAATATATAATCATATGCCAAAAGGCTCACAGACGGTACTTCACAATCCTTTTGGTTCCTTTCATTCCATACTGAGTCTCAGTTGTAGTCTCAATCTTCATAAACCTCAGGAATATTTCAGAGGCAAACTTATTGTGATTTGTGGGTATCTCAATAGAGTTTAATGGTTCTCCAGTCTACTACTTAACAAATTGTCACTCTTTGATCAAACTAATGCTTTTTTCCATATCTTTGTGCATTTCAGGCTATCTCAGTCGATAGAACCATAGACATTTTACTCCTTTCAGTTTTTTACATTTTATTTGTTGCAGTTGCTTTGCTCCATCAAATAGTAATCCTTATATAACACTGGCATGCATACTGATGATTTGTTTTCATTTTGGATTAAGAGCTAACACTAATTCCAATGAGGGCTTTCCAGTCGACTCTCTTGTACTTTTTTCATCTACTGAATCCTTGCTTATATATTTTCATAACTATTTCTTCAGACAGCCGACTATAGAATTTCCTCTTCTTATGTTAATGAGATTTGGTTGCTATGCACCACTGGCTTCTTCATCATTTCCAAAAAGTCTTTGCCTATACTAGTTTCCATCCTGAACCTTGGCATGGAAACTGCACACAGAATGAGTCCACATTCATAGCTTTCCATCTCACTTAATAAACTTCTTGGATGATGGAACCTAAAAGTTCACCAAGAATATATTAAAATTGATATTTTAGATTCTCTCAATCCTCTCATGCTAATTTTGCACTGGTATAGGCTGGGTTTCATTTGATATTTTCAAGATTTAAGTTGCCCTATCCTCTGCCAATGTAGTTGTATCTCCAATCAAATGACTTTAAGGCCAACTCATTCTGCACATAACAGATATATAGGGAAAGAGTCAACATGGCAGTTGTACAGGGAAATCATGCCTCATCAATCTGTTAGAATTCTCGGAGGGAGTCAACAAGCAGGTGGACAAGGGTCAATATAGCAAACTTGGACTTCCAGAAAGCCGTTGACAGGGTCCCTCACCAAAGGCTCTGAAGCAAAGTAAGCAGTCATGGGATGAGAGGACAGTTCCTCGCATGAATCAGTAACTGGTTAAAAGATTAGAAACAAGGGTAGGAATAAATTATCAGGTTTCATAATAGAGAGAGGTAAATAGCATGGTCCCTCAAGGAGTGTACTGGGACCTGTGCTGTTCAACAGATTCATAAATGATCTGTGAAAGGGGGTGAACAGTGAGGTAGCAAAATTTGCAGACGATACAAAATTACTCAAGATAGTTAAGTCCAAAGCAGACTGTGAAGAGTTACAAAGGGATCTCACAAAACTGTTTAGGCACCAAAATGGCAGATAAAATTCAGTGTTGATAAATGCAAAGTAATGCACATTGGGAACATAATCCCAACCATACATACAAAATGATGGAGTCTAAATTAGCTGTTACCGCTCAAGAAGGATCTTGGGGCTGGTCCCCACTTAGTCCGGACTTCGGACTAAGGTACGCAAATTCAGCTACGTTAATAACGTAGCTGA